TTTCACTATTTCGCGCTTCTTTTTCTCTTCTTCACGCGAGCGACCAGAAAGTAGGAGAAATTCTATTATTTTCGCCGCGGAGGTATCGCGTTTTGATCGGTGCACGCGAGCGACAATGTTTAAATAGGATTATACCCAGCAATAACAATCTCGAATAAAACACGGTGGAGAGGAGGGTACATAGTAGAGGACAGTAGGTGGAGACGGAGGACGAAAGCGCGCGCTCGCTCGCGAAGAAGAAGTAGGACGCCGCTGCAAGGTTCCCTGGCAAGCGTTTAACCTAACCTAACCTAGCCCAATCTAGGCGCGGACGCACACGCGCGCGCTTCTATCTGCTCGCCCTTCTTCCCCCCTCTCGAGCCACCGCATTAACCGCGCCGCAAACCCCACCTAAGCCGGTCGACCTGCTGCTGCTGCACTCCGTTCGCTATTTCTCTCTCTTCCCCCCTCTCGCTGTATCTTTTACATTTCCACGATCGTCCGTCCTTGTCGTTTCGACTTTTGTACGCGCTTGTGTGTATGTGTGTGTGTCGCGCGCGCGAGTCACAGTCGGTTAGACGTCCTTCGTTCCTTAACCGTAAATGCGCGAAAACAACTTCTCCGTTCTTCGAGAAACGTGTACTCGCGCTAGCGGTTCCCCGTGCACGGTCATAGAACTCTCTCGTCCATGAAACTCGTACCAGTGCCTGAGTAGAGAAGCGCGGCTTCGTCTCGCGGAGAAAGCGATGAAAAGGGTTACGCGATTGCAGTCGACCGCTTACCAATCGCTGTTGGTGTAACCGTCGTGCCTCGATCTTTGCTCGTTTCGTGTGATTCTCTGTCGTGTCTACTTTATTTCCTTTTTTTTTTCTCTCTCTCTCTCTTGTTTGACGATCGACGAGTGACCTTTTTTTCACGACTTTTGTTCGGTTCTATCAGCCGGTTCCGTTGCAAACGGAATGAGTGACAGCGAGTGGCAAAGTGGCGAGCTTCGTGTTCCGCAGAGTGCAAAGACGCGAAGCTGCGGACGATTGGCCGCGATCGGCTCCGATCGACTACGTCCGGCCGTCTCCGGGGTGTAGGGGGGGTGGGGGCCGAAGAAAGAAAGGATCGCGCGAGAGAGCGGCAACGCAAGCGGTGAAAAGTGCAAGTGGAGTGTGAACGGTGCACACACGACCTGTGTTTATACCACTTGATATACCTCTGTGTGTCAACAGTTTCTCGCAGCGAGAATTCATATTTTTTTTTTTTTTTTTTGGTTTCTTTCCTCTTCTGTCGCGAACACGCGCCCCGTGTGCCCTGATCTCCTCGGTCTCGCGGGGGTTGCTCTCGAAATGATGTGAAACAAACGATCTGCCGAACCAACCTTTCCGCCATACACGTCCAACGTACGTAGATCGACGTTTGCTTTGCGAAACGTAACTTCAAATTCAAACGTGGTCGTGACCGATTTCACCCATGGTTGTTGTGTTGTTTCGTAAAATTCGACGCAACAATCCAACTGAGAATTTCAGAATCGTCTACGAAACAATTACCGACGCGACTATTTTCCTCTCCTTAGGATCGTAATTTTGTGAGAGTTACTATTCTCGTGACCGATATAGGAACCAGTTACAGCTCGTGTTTCATCTTGATTCACGATAGTGATTATCATACAACACTGCTACGAGGGGTATATACCATGTTAGTTGCGTAGAGCTATTTATAAAGAAAACGTTGATCTTTTGCTCCTGTGTTACGATTCAAACCCTGTGAAGCACAATGGAACAACATCGTACATGTAGTTTTCTGCAAATTCACGTGTTTTCTTCGACAATATCGTACATGTAGTTTTCTGCAAAATCATGTATTTTCTTCGACAATATCGTACATGTAGTTTCCTGCAAAATCACGTGTTTTCTTAAATATTCATATTCTCTCTACGATCTCGATCACGCGATCGATATTAATCTCGTCATTAATACTCTTTTGCATCTACCGTGTGAAGAAAAGAGGAACTCTTAAATATAGCGTGTACTTATACTTTATATAAGTTCGTTAACGATTACGATTGAAATTAATGACATTTACATTCCCTGTTTACCATCTTTGACGGTTCTCGTTCATTCAAAAGATCTCAATTGCCGCTTTACCGACCGGTTTCGCTTTCTCCTTCGCTTTCGCTATCGCTACAACTAAATAGATCCACGCTCTATTACCGTTTCGCAAAGCCGAGGAAAGCACGAGAACTACGACAACCAAATGAATTGCGAATCTTTTGTCAGTGCAGTGTAGCGGTAACTTGCTTCCCTACCGCGTTATTATTATTTCCTAACCAAACTTTCGCCGATTGTTCACGAGTATTCGAAACAATGCGTTTAACGTTGGTAACCATGACAATGCTTGTGTTCCACTATTCCTCGGTCTAATGACAAAGTAACTGAAGCGTTCGTGGGTACATTTGGAACTATACTTTTAAATGTAATTGAAAGTGAATGCTGTTTACTTCATTATCTATTATTTTCTACAAAATTGTAGTTAGTCATCAACAAAATACAGTGTTAGTCATCAGTCAATGAAGATATCTGTTTGTAAAAGAATATCTCACCAAAATTGAAAGATACGTGAAAGTGTCGAAGCAATGATTTATTCATCACCTGCCATTTAAAAACCGGGATTAATAATGAATCGACGTTTGACTCAATGATATTATTATCGAATATAGGCAGCGTTTCTCTTCGTCGACTGTTTCAAACGAGAACATGATCGAATTCACGATCGTTTTATATTGTTGAAGAGAACGCCGTTCGATTATTGGCGGGCATACCACCGAAAACGAAAGTCAATACAGCCAGTAACCACCTGTTACATTCTGCCTGGAGGAAAAAAAAAGAATGCGCGAGAAAATAAACGAGCGTCAAATAGCCTAAATTATATTTTCAAGTTCTGCAATATATATATATATATATATATATATATATTTGCAATTATGCATACCTGAGAAATTTTTGTACATTTGAAAACTAGATTTTGTTAAAGTTGCATTTTGTTCGATTGTTGTTAAAAAAAATTTCGTGACGATTACAATTTTCACTACGTAAATCTGCTATATTCGATCGATTGAATTTTACTATAATAAACGCGTGTATCGCGTTTCGAGGAGAAATAGAAAAGATTATTCGTACTATCATGACAAACGGAGCTGCTCTCGTTCAACTAAATTATCGCGTGGCGTGTGTCGATCGAACGACGAGTCAGGATCGACGGTGTGATACTTTTTATTTCGATCGAAGGTTCCGACCACTCGAGGAAGAGACTCGCTTTTCAGAATTGGTACCGCGAAACCTATATCCGCGTCTATAAAGTGCAGTGAACGCGAGCGGGTGCAACGAACTTCGTTTTCCCTCTCCTTTGTCCTCTCTTTCTACCGTCCTCTCTCCCTCTCTCACGTGCAATCTCCCCCGTCTGAACCTTTTCCCCTCTCTCTTACCAACGATCACACACAAGCACACCGCGTCTCTCGTACCAGACACAGGCGTAGCCTCGAATTTTGGACGGTTCTGTCATCTCTTCTCTCGTAATAATTACTTCGTAATAAATCATTCTTTTAACGTAATACTGTTTACTATGATATTACGCTGAAAGACAATCATCAGCGAGTCATATATAGTTAGTAAAAATCGAGTGTATTCGTCAGACTCGGTAAAGTGTCCGACAGCGGCTAAACGAACTTCGTGGGCGTCGGTCCCGCGGGACCGACGCCGGCCGAACGAATAACAGGTCG